GTCTTTTGGCAATAAACCATTCTAATTCCTTTTTAATATACCTACTTCCTTATTTCTATTTTGTCACTTTTTTTTTGACATGGATTTCATTGGTTTATGCATCATCTTCCAATTCATATCCTTAACAGATATTTGCCTATTGTTAAGGTATTAGTAAAGGCATGCAATGGAAAAATACATAAATGACCTAGACTATTACCATTTATACTATAAATAGATTATAAAATTCATAATTTAGTAACAAATTATATACCTTTTGAATTAATGTATGGACAAAAATCAATAATATCAATAAAAGAAGTATTATCTTTATGGGATGTATTACTTTGGAAGGATGATCTCAATATAGAAGAACTTTTAGGATTACAGATTTAACAATTAGAAAGAAGACCTAATGATATTTAGGCAGCAATAACAAGGTTGAAAGAAGCAGGGAAAAAAAATAAAGAAAGATTTGATAAGAAACATTGACTACGACCTAAAAAAATTGAAGATAGTAATTGGGTGTTAGTTTATGATAGTAGCTTAGACAATCAACATAGAACGACTAAGAAATTTGCAAAGAGATGATTTGGGCCTCATGTTGTGAAATAAGTGTACAACAATGGAACATATTTGTTATAAGAATTTGATGGTACAAAATTGAAGATACCTATGGTAGGCAAACAAATCATATTTTTTAAATAAAGAGGTGAAGGCATTTGTTTTAATGAAGAACAAAATTTATTAGGAGATATTGAGATGAAAGAAGGAAAAACAAGTTGAAGATCAAGAACTTGACCAAGATGAAGGCCATTTTACGTAAAAATGATATAGAAAACTTAGTGCATGCTAGAAGATGCACTGATTTAGAGGGAGTGGATGTTGTGATGTAAAATGGCTAATAGGTGAAAGGATGTAGAAAATATCATATTTTTGAATATCTTATTTTAAATATATTGTAATAAATCATATTAGAAAAATAGATAATAGTCAAGGGATAGAAAAATTAAATGTGCTAATGCTACTTTTTTACAAAATAAACTTTTGCTTACTTTGTAGGACCACAAATAAAGAAAAATAAAGTAGATTAGAAAAATAAACAATATAGACACATTTGGAAAGAAGTCAAGCATATTTTGTGGAAAAAATTACCTTAGAAATCTATAAGTTGATACCCAAAGAAGACCAATTATCAATCAGGATCAAAATCAGACCCTAAGGCACAAAATTAAGCCTTGACAATGATTCTGGGGTTCTTTTGGAGATCAAAGAGTAGGATCTAGGAGCTGACTTGATGGAATTTCTTTAAGCATTAATTTAGAGTCATTTGAAAGCATATTAACTTTGTAAGAGCTTTGCAAATTTGAGGTTTGTTTTGGATGACTTTGGATTTGTAAAATAAAATAGGTGATACTTTTTGAAGAATTTTGTAAGTTTGGCAATAGATCTATGGGTGAATTTTTTTGGATTTGTAGGTATAGTTGTGCTTAATGTGTAGTGTGAATTTAGATTTGATTAAAAAGTTAGATTGAAAGGCATGAATATTTTGGTAGGTTATGGTCTCAAAATTTAAGGTTTTCAGGACCAGTGAGGTTTTCTTAAATATTTGTCAATCTACATGTTAGATTGAAGCAAATTATTTCATAGAGATAGTCAACTTGATTTCTAATAAGTATATAAAGTTTAGAAGTAAAATAACGGTTCAATCAGGAATAATTGGCTCTGAGAGATTGGTATAAAGGCCAAAGAAGGAGGCTGGCCAAGACCTAAGCACATTTTTGAAGTTATTGTTTATTTGATAATTCCAATCTTTTTTAAATTCTTTTTTGTGCTTGTTTTCAACTTAATTTTTAAGAAGTGTGTAAAATTTGAGTTAAAATCAATGGTTCATTCATTACTTATTGAGGATTAGAACTGCTAAAAGAATTACTTGGAATTGATTAGGATTTGTTTAGGATTTGGTAGGGCATATTTAAAGTTTATCTAGGATTTCATTAGGATTTACTTAGGATTTGATTAGGATTTGATTAGGATTTGATTAGGATTTGATTAACATTTGATTAGAATTTGACTAGAAATTAACTAGGATTTGTCTAGGATTTGATAAAGGCTTATTTAGAATTTGTCTAAGATTTGACTAGGATTTTATTAGGATTTGTTTAGAATTTGATTAGGAATTGTTTAGGATTTGATTAGGATTTGATTAACATTTGATTAGAATTTGACTAGAAATTAACTAGGATTTGTCTAAGATTTGATAAAGGCTTATTTAGAATTTGTCTAAGATTTGACTAGGATTTTATTAGGATTTGTTTAGAATTTGATTAGGATTTGATTAGAATTTGATTAGAATTTCATTAGAATTTGAGTAGGATTTGATTAGGACTTATTTAGGATTTGTCTAGGATTTGATTAGGATTTATTTAGGATTTGATTAGGATTTGATTAGGTTTTGTTTACAATTTGATTGGAGTTTGATGAGAATTTGACTAGGATTTGACTAGGCCTTGTCTAGGATTTGGTAAAGGCTTATTTAAGATTTGAGTAGGATTTGACAAAGTTTTGACTAGGTTTTGACTAAGATTTAATTAAGATTTTTATTTGATTTTATTTGCTAATCTTTAATTATAATTTAATTAAGAATCTATTAGAGTTGTTAGGTCTTGTTGTTGCAATTTTCCTATTATCTTCCACAACCAAGTGCTGAGTGCATTCTCAAACCAAACACCATATAATATGATGGCACCACATTATCAACTTTTACTACAAGCAACTGATACATGTAACATGTGGCTAACTTATTGGCTACGTTTCTAACCGGTAAATCATCCATAGGTACATATAAAGGTGAAACTATATCTATAATGCTTCTAAGAAATTATAATTCAATTTTTATTTGAAATTATTGAAAATATTTTTTTTCTACTAAACAAATTTGAATATATTATAATATATTTTTTAATAATATATTATAATATATTTTTTAATAATATATTTAATATACCTAATATATTTAATATATTTAATATTATTATATTACATATAACTATTATCAAAAATCAAATATTTAAAATTTTATAAATTTAATAAGCTTGTGATTATTACTTCAGCAAGTTCCTATCAAATTATTATATAATATTGAAGATAAAATTAAAATTATAAAAAAATCAATAATTTAAATATTATTTATCAATTTTTTATTTAATACTAATAGAAAAATTATTATTATTATGCTTGAATATAAATATTAATTAAAATTTATAATAAATTATATTATTTAAGAATTTATTTTTATTATATTAAGAGGTTTTTTGATATAAAATTATATAAAATTCAATCTAAGTTGTATTTTAGTTATTATTTAAACCTATAATAATATATATGAATATATATTTATATATTTATATATTTATTTATATTTATGTATCATGGATGTATATAATCACTTAAATAAGAAGTACTAGGTAGAAGGTAATTGTATGTCAATTTGATAATATATTGTAATAAGCTTCACAGATGCAATTTTGACTTTATATGTATTTGTAGTTGATTAGTAGGTTGAAAATTTGGCCAACAATTTGGCCATGTATTGCACATGTTGGTGGCTTCTAGTGCAAGTTGGTCATGAGATATAAATATAAGAAAATTATTTTGTAAGTTAGACTTGTATCAAAGGCCATATAAAACGTCATCATATTACTTTTAATTACATAGTATATTTAGAGGCAAGAATGAAGCCTTCTTCATTCTTATCAATGCATTTCTTGGTTTTACTCTAGTTTCAATAGTCTCTACTCTTGTCTTTTACAATAGCTATTCTAATTCTAATATTGTACTATTTTTGAGTGAATATTTATTCTTTGAATGACACAAGAGTACTTTTAGGTTTTTAATGTTGTGATTTGTGTCTTTGATATTATGTTTATTTTTTAATCTACTTTCTTATAAAACAAAAGACATATCAAAAAATAAGTAATTATCAGCACTTTATATTTAATGAGATAATAATCCAAATTGTAAGATGAAATATTTTTAGACATAAAGTGGCACCAAAATAAATTAAGTAATTACATATATATATTTTAAATAAAATATAGATATAAAAAATATTTAAAATATATGCATATATATATATATATATATATAATGAATTAATCCATAGCTTATAGAAATATTTGTCCAATATAATACTAAAATATAAGTGTGAAACTAAACAATTTAAAATCAATACAAAAATATGCAAGAATGAAAGTGTCAAGATTAAAAATGAACCGTATTTAACCTTGACACACACATATATATATATATATATATATACTAATGAACTGATCATGTAGAAATTTTCTGTGGACAAAAATATGTGTAGGAAAAATATCTAAATGGCTAAATACTTCAGCATTATCTTCTTAGTAATTATTTAAATAAATAAATAAATTGTACAGCCACTTAACACATCCAATATTATCCAAAGTTCCAATCCATGTGTCGAGAATTCTTACCATATTTAATTTTTTTATAAAAAAGATACAATTTAAGCAAGATATTTTCACTGGTTCAGTCACACGACCCGACAGCCAAGGAGGGTTCGAATCCGGACAAGCCCGTCGGCAAGAGCTCGAGCGCGATTCGTGGACAACACCAGGCACGTCCGCAGAAGTTCCGTCCAACAGGGATTGTAGGAGCCGCGAAGGGACGAGAGGGCTTTGGCCTCAGAAGGGGAAAAAACGGGTGGGAGGTGCTTTGTACTACGGGCCAGTTGGGGGTACTACAGCCAAGTACTACAGCCAAGTACTGCATTACCCTCAAGGGCAATGGCCCCCTCGATGCACTAGTACTGCCACCAAATTCAGGCCCCGCCACGCCCTGCAGCATCTCCGCGAGGTTCTGCCACCAATCCAACGAACGAACGAACGAGCGAACGAACGAGCGAACGAACGAATCTGGGCACTCGCAGCATCGGGTGATTGTTAACTGAACCCAACTTTAACGATCGCCCGGCCCCTCGCTGGAGATATTCGTGACCCGCTTCCTCCTCCCCTTGCCATTACTTCAGCTTGGGTGTCGGCATTGGAATCGGCCTCACTCCGCGCTGCTACCCTTTTGCCTCCTCTGGGATCGCGATTCGAGAGGGTGAGCGCTCGCCTTAAATCGGAAGCGATTGGGAATCCAGCGGATGACGTAACAGTTGCTCGCAATTGTAGTTGTCTGGCAGATCTCAGAGCTTGTGTCTGGGTCTGATCAGTTGTATTGCAGGGCGTGCTTCTGTTGCCTCGCTTGTCTACTTTCTGTTCTTGTCTTCTGTGCTTCGTCGCCCCCGGTATGTGTTATTTGTTATCAGTGCCTGATGGTGGTGGTGGTGATGATGTCTCTCTCGTGTTTGTTTCTATGCCTTAGTCTCTTGCGTAATTTCGTTTTTTTTTAATAGATAGGATTTAGTGGTTTTTTTGGGTGACGAGAACGCGGTCTGACCCACTCGGTGTTGGTTACATGCACAGGGATTTCGCAGGCTTATTTGTTTCAATGGCGGTCGCCACGGAGTCTTTCTTCGTCGCATTCTTGGTTGTTGCCATGGCGGCTGTCGCCGTCCACGGCCATGAGGGTCATGATCACAGTCCCGCCGCATCTCCCGAGCCCGCTAGTTCTGCTGCTTCGAGCTTGGTAGTGTCTTTGGTGGCACCCCTTCTAGTTGGCGTCGGCGCTTTCATCGCCTCTGCTCTCCGCCTGTAAAAGAGTGCGGAATTTTCCGATGGGCTTTTTCTATCGCTTGAGCTGCGTCTTGGATTTGTGTGGCACAGGTTGATGATTCATATGTAGGCTGGCATCTTGGATGCTTTGTCCAGAAGGTGTCTTCACGACATATCTAATCATCAAGTAGGTTAGACTAGACACAGCGGGAATGAAACAGGGGTTATCGTCACCCCATTGTCTTGTTGAAGAATTCTTTTGGAAAGTATACGTCGGCCAGAGTAATTTGCTCGTTGGCTTTATAATAATGTGGTCATTTTGACTCTCCTTAAATAAAAATGTTTCGGTATACCTTGCTCCAGTGTTGAGGGGTTGCAATTTGCTGATGTTAGTCGCATAACTCCATGTTTTTTCATTCTATTGCTTCGCCCGGTACCAGTTGTTGCCAGGTCCGAGTGTCCTTGTATTGGCACGACGTGGAAAACAGATTGTGCGCACCACTGAGCGCAACCAGTTCTTGATCGTCTCTTTCCTGCTTTTAAGGATCATGAAGTTCGACGCATTACATGCTACATGTCGATAATGCATCTGCTCATACTCAAACAGCTTTTACCTGACATTTAGCTGGGAAAAAACGCTTCGCCCTTAGCTACATCAAGCATCGAGGAGTTTCTCCTGAAGAAATATTACTTAGCCCCGGTTTGCAATATACCCACGCCGCTTTCTGTGAAAATGCACATCTTACATCTATAGATTACTGTGCACTTTTCGCTGATGCACCAAATAATCGGAACATAGTATATTCATTTATGCCTCCCAGTTTCTGCCAAGTACAGCAATGGCGAAAGAATTTGCTTTCTTAAGGTTTGCAAGTTGGGAGTACAGCTGTGGAAAGTAAAATCAGTTTGTCCCTTCGACACAGCGGTGGAGCAATGAGCAAATTAAGGAATGCTGGTTTCTGCCACTTGTTGATACCAGTACCCACTTACTCAATACATAAAAAATCTCCAACACGTGAGTTTTGGATTTGCTTTGACTTCCCGTCCAGTTACACTTTCTCAAATATATCCACATGCCACTTGGCGAACAATGTCTGTATTTTCAATTTTAATCCTTGCAGCTGGAACTAAGTCCCTGACGGTGTCCATGTTCATACTCGAAGATTAACGATTGTGGATTATTTATATCATAACCAGCGTCGGTGCTGTGTTTTGCAATTGAGAAGGGGTCTAGGTGGCTGGATCCTTTTCCTTGTGTTGAGGGGTTCAGGTCATACCTGTACAACTTGCCTAGTGAGGCATAATAGTTTTAAGATAATCGTTTTACAACCTTATGAGAAATTAATCTTGGTTTTCATTCCCTGCCGAAGAATCTGATGTCCTTTGTAACCAAGCCCTCTATAGCAGACAGTAATGGATATACCCAACAATTCTCGCCGTCTCAGGCTCGTCCACCAACGGCGCTGTCATTCCAGGAGGTTAAGCTTCCAGCAGTTACACTCAACAATCACATCGTGAATGGATTATCTTGTGACCTCACCCAATGACAGATTCACAGTGTCTTTCATCTGAGCACGAATTATGTGATCGTGCGGCATTCGAGGGTAGAGATTTATAATAAGCCTTTGAGTACTGCGCAGGATTTTGACAAGATCACAATCCTTTATGCTGCGGGCGCTCCTGATAGATTGAATCTAAAGATCAAAGATTTGATCACCAGGCACAATGAATGTGTGCTTGATTAGGCAACTCGAAATGACTTCTGAGGAGGATGGAAGATTTGAGTCATCTAGGCGCAAAAATGGGATGAGAATCTATACCTTCGACACTGGGAGCCGGACCCAAGTGCTTCCCAGTTCATTTGATGCATTATATGCGATGGATAAGAATGAAAAAGGAAGAAACAGGATCTTCGTATTTAATGCACATTCTTTTCAGGAATGTAAAAAAATGTTTCATTAGGATTCCGAGATCGTTTTTGCTGTTAAGATGAACCTTTTAATGGAGTAAGCGAGCTGGATTGAGAGTTTGCCACCGGAGCTCATTATCGGTCTTGATTTACGAAAAGTCGTGAGAGCATCAGCAATTCACTTCACAATCATTTACATGGATCTCTAAATTCTTCACTCTAGACAATCCTAGAGCAATGCGACTCAAAAATGCGTACTTCGAAATATCGGCTAACTAGCACGACTAAATAATGATATGACATGTTTAAGTGTGATGGTTTTGTAGTCTCGGCAGTTTGGTCGAAATATGTAGTTCTCTATTGACCACCAATTTAAGATTTATTTAAGATTCTATTGACTCCATTAAAAAAATGCATCCATATATTCATATAAATTTTTTATCTATAGATTTATTTATCTTAGGCTCTAGCATTATGTTACAAAAATAGAATTTTATTCATGCTACAAACATAAATGTGCCAAAATAAATGAGGATGAGGGAGAAGGGACGCTTTGAAAAACTTGTTATATGCTAAACAAATCCGAACTTGTAATGTTGTGTTATAACACGGCCATTAGATAAAAGAAAAAAATATGAATATATGATAAAGGAGCTTAAATGAAAATATGATAGCAAATTATTTTTAAAATATAGACAATAGACAAGGAGGTAGTAAAAATTAATAAGTGCTAATATTACCTTTTTATATAAAAAAAAATTATATTTACTTTATAAGGCCATAAATGAAACAAATCAAAGTAGACAAAAAAAATAATTAATATAGGTATCTTTAAGAAGGAATTAAGAGTAGATTTTAATAGAAAAATACCTTAAAGAATTAATTATTGATACTCTTAAAGAACTGGCGTCACATTATATATATTCTTGCTTGAAAATACACCAAATACTTAATTTTGAAAGATAAATAGAAATGCAACAATAAAACTCTATCAAGTCTAATAGAATCTTAAATAAATCTTAAATAATTCTTAAAAATCCTAATCAAATTTTCATCAAATCCAAAAAGAATTGAAAGAAGTTACAAAAGAAATATAAAGAAGTCATAATTAATTAAAAATAATAATAATAAAGAAATTAAAAAAAAATATAAAAAAAAATCTTGAACAAATAGCAATAATCTTAAAGAAATATTAAAAATAAAAACTTGTAAAGATATAATAAAAATCCTTTAAATTTATTAAAAATAAAAAATTTAAACAAATTCTAAGTAAATTTTAACCAAATCTTAATTAAATATTAATCATATCTTAAATCTTAAACCAACCCTAATAAAATCTCAATGAATCTTAACTAAATCCTAAATCAAATTCGAATAAAATTTTAATTAATATTAATCAAATCTTAAATCAAATCATATTAAAATCTTAACCAAATCCTAAATCAAATCCTAATCAAATTCTAAATTCTAACAAAATTTCAAATAAAATTTTGATCAAATCCTAAATAAACCCTAATTAATATTTAATCAAGTTCTAAATCTTAAAAAAAATCTCAACAAATCCTAGAATAGATTGAAATCTTACTGAATAATTATTTAATTATTTATTTTGAATAAAATATTTTATATTTTTTAATAACTAAATTGGCAACAAGGACAAAAAAAAATCAAAAAAATCAAACCTATCAAATAGAAGATAATCCTTAAAATCTGCTCAAATATTGGTTGGCCTCGTTTTCCAATCTTGATGTCAATATTTCAAAGCCAAAATCTCTTAATTTCACCAATCAATAGGTTTTAAACTTTATACAATTGTTAAAAGGAAATTTTACTATTTATGTGTAAAATTTTATTTTAATCCAATGAGTAGATTGACAAATAACTGTCAAGGACAAGAACTCGATGAAAAAATAATTCACACAAGTGAGCCTTCACTCAAAGAGAGGTAACAGAATATATATAAACAAGGATATATATTGAAAGAGAAATTGGAATGGCTATTACCAAAAGACAAGAAAACTAGAGACCCTTGAAACTAGACAAGAAGCAAGACAGGAATTGACAAGAGTGAAGAAGCCTTCACTCTTGTCTCTATATATACTATCTAACTAGGGGCTATGTGGCGACGTTCTAAAGGACCTCCAATATGTGTTGACTTTGTAGGACACATGTCTTGACTTACAAGGAAAGTTTTTCTACGTGTGGGCTACATAGTTAGCTTGATCTTCAAGCTAACAACATCTGTGGCACATGGCCAACTTGTTGACCACGTTTCTAATCCAAAAAGTCAATTAAAGACACCTATGAAGTCAAAGCAGCATCTATGAAGCTTCTAGGAAGCTTTCATATTAAATACTATAGAATTTACTTACTTTGACCTACTTTTACTTACTTCTACTTATTTGTATATGTAATTACTAGCTTACATGATTATGTCCGTGACATTACTCCCCCTTCTATGGATGAGTTCCACGAGGAGCGGTCATCATATGTCAAGGAAATCTATGATGCGACGAATTGTATTTGCCACATACTCTGATCTTTGTTCTCTTCGAAGATGATTGATAGGGCCTCTCAACCATCAGTAGTGTCCCATACCAGAGCGAGAAGACGACCCAATTATTTGATCATTGTTGAGGCCTTCATAACTTCCTTCGAATAGAATATTTGGAACACCATCAGGAGTTGTTCCTACCTCTAGCACAATTACCAAACATCAGGAGTCCCTTCCCAAATCGTGATACCAAACGCGTTGTATCTCGCCATCTATTCGAGGAAGAACATGTCGTTCTTGAAGATCTTCATCTCGATTGCGTCGTCTTGAAGGTTGTGACAATTGTAATGTTTCATCCGGCAGATTAGCAAATAAAGGCTCTTGAGTCAAATCCACTGGTTGGTTCTCCATCTCCTGAGCATCACTACTACAAAGAAGCTACGAACAAGAATTGAAAGTAGAATGTTATCTTGCCTAGATGTTGTTTCTTTTATAAAGAAGGTTTTCATCTTGATTTTGATGGATGTCGTCAATGAAAAGCTTCCACTGCCTTTGCTGCATTTGCAAGATTCTTTATTGGCTCCCATGTGCATTCACTAATACCATATGCGCGCTAATGGACAAGATATTCTAATTTATTTTGGTGCTGCCTCGAATCTAAGACTTCTTCTACTTCAAACTCTTCATTATTATCCACTTCTGTAGGAGGAGGTGGAGCTTGTCATCTTCTTGGTATGTCTACTGTCTTGTATGGTTCAACAAGAGATACGTGGAATACTCGATGGATTTTCATTGACTCCGGTAGATGTAAACGATATGCAACTGGATTGATTTGTGCAGAAATAGAAAATGGTCCCAGCCTTCGATAGTCCAACTTGTCACAAGGACAAGTGGTCTTGATATTGTGACGAAGTAGCCATACCTTATCACCCAAGATGAATGATGGTTGTTCCTTTCGA